CCGCAAGAGGAGAGACCTCGAGCAGCTTTAATGACCGCATAACACTTTTGCTCTTGACAGTTTTGGTAGCACATTTCTGCACACTTCTCCCACTCAATCCTCGCAACTTCTTTCCTCTTTCCTTCTAGCCCCTTCCGAATTCACGTCAATGCAAGTGAAGCAGGCTCATGGATTGTCCGTAGAGCTGGAATTCGGACGTCCGGACTCGTACAACGGGTCTCCCGGACCAATTCAGGTTAGACAAACAGAGAATACCGAACGAGGCTGGTTGGTCAGGCTTTGCGTTTAGGTCAGTTCCAACTTCTACACGACCTCGTCTCGGCTTGCTTGAACTCATCTTCTAACCTGCCCAGACCCAAAATACTGTTGAACGCAGACCGGACACAGACCCTATTCGAATAAGTTGGGAAAGTCGGTTAATTGTCAAATGGAAGTGAAAGAATGCGTAAAAGTGACAGCCAAATCTTGACTGATTCATTTGCGCCTCGTAGAAACCTCACTCGGGGCTTGTTCGCCCTTCAGTCGGACTCGAGCCTAAGACTTCTGGACCAGGTGCTATGCTCTTCAAGCATACAAGTCGGTTTACCAGACTGTCGGTAGATCATTTGTTTGAAATGTGCTCATGCTAATTCCTTTAAAGTGATAAAGAATTGGTAGTTTAATTTTCCCACAATCCCAAGAGTAGGCCATACATTTTCATTGAATTTCACACCAAACCTTGCCTCCAAAATGGTATTTCCATCCATGCAGGAGGGAACCACAGTTTCGAACCCGCCTGAACTACACTCGTCAGTACTCCCGGCAGGACTCGAGCCCGGTTTGTGGAAGTACAGCGTATAATCTCGGCACGTGATCCAAGAGCACTCGTAACGGGGTGGCGTGGTGGTTGCCATGTCGAGACTATAAGCTGTACATTCCGGGTTCGAGTGTCGCTAGGTGGGCTGTTGAGACCAATTGAGGCGAGGTCGAAACGGCAGTCAAGTGGAGTAGAGATGAAAATTTAATGAAAATTGAAATACTATTGAGCTTACTTCCATTTCGAGTGAAAGTGTTGGGGCAAGAGACTCGAAGGTCGGTTCCACCAAAAGACGACGGCCGATTCCTCTTGACCAGCTGTCGATTGGCTTTACTGCAAGATGCAAAGAGGCCAGATGTAGAGTAGATATACCACTTTTTTAGGGATTTGTTGGTGATGTTTCTTGACGACGGTACCTTGCTCTGATGATATGCGTCATGTGACGGACGAAAGCTTAGCACCGTTTCACCGGAATCGAAGGAGAGTGCCACGGAAATAGCATCAGCATGAATGTTCCAGCAAAGCCAATCGACAGCTGGTCAAGAGGAATACTTGGTCGTCTTCTGGTGGAACTGAGTTCGAAACTCTTCACCAAACAATTTCACTTGAAATGAAAGTAAGCTCAACAATTAAGGAAGAACAGATTCCTCGAAACCCAACTTTCTTCGCATAAGATGAATCAGCCGCCATTTTTTGGGGGAACCGACCTTCGAAACTCTTCACCCAACAATTTCACTCGAAATGGAAGTAAACTCAACAATTATGAAACAAGAGATTCCTCGAAACTCAACTTTTCTTTGCATATATAAATCCTAGTCATATGATTGTGGAAAAAATCAATTACCAATTCTTCATCATTTTTAAGGAGTAGAAAAAGTACATTTCATCTAAAATTGTATATTTATAATCTTTTGGGTTGCTGATGATAGTCAAACTTAATAAATTGTAAAATTGAAGTAGCTCTCAGACAAAATCATTCTTTAATCCATAAATAAAGGGCTGATTTAATGATGCTAGCCATCTCACAAAAACGTATTCTTGTGGGCAAACAGATCTCCGCCAGTAGTTCTGGCATAATAAACAATGACTAACTCTCGGAGTGAGAGTAAAAATTGCAGATCATTCATATGTATTCATGTGAGTAGTCCACCTGTCTGTGAGCTTGTCTGCTTGCTGGTGTGCGTAACCATATATTCGAATAGAGGTTGTTTGACCTTGTTTTCGCAACATGGTCATGTTGGTAGGAAGACTTATTAGAACACACCTAGTCCGGGGTCCATTGTCTGCATGATCATTTCCAAAGTTGAACCGTGGACGTGGAACATT